TGGGAAACCACGCAGCGAAATCCAATGTAGTGGGTTGCTGTTAACTTCCGAAAGGGAGGGGGTACGAGGGGCACGAAATGTGAGGAGGAGGGGGAGGAGGACGAGCAGGAGGAGGACACCGGGGAGGACAAGGGGAAGGAGGGCCAGCAAGAGAGGAGGACGAGTTTTTCCCCCCGCAGGGTAGCACGTATCGCTTGTTTTAACCGTAGAGGACGCGAGCAGCCTCCTCCTCCTCATCATCAACGCCGGGCTCTGGAGGGAACGCCTCCTGGGCCTGACCCTAAGCCCCTGGGAGGGGAGGCTCCTGTGGGGGCGGCTGCCCCACGGGAGACCCCCGCAAAACTGTGGCATCCTGAAAGACCGAGGCCTCCCCCCTTGCAGCGACTCTCCGCCTCAGAGGTCGAACCCTGGCAACAGACCACCGCCTGGGACTCCGTCCGGGGGCAGGTGGGAGAAGACCGTCCGCTCACGCGGCTGCTGGGTCTGTAGCCGCCGGAGCCTTTCCACATCACTTACGAGGTGGAACACGACGCCAAGGGCACAATTGGACTGCGGGCGGAAGCGTCTCAGCATTCGACCGAACCTACGTCGGGTGGCAGACGACGCAATCCGACCTTTGCTTTCACATTCGACCTTCCGGCTGATGCGATCGGTACTGTGCGCACCACGCCGTCTGCAGAAAATCAAACTCGGGCCATTCGAAAGTCGGGTGTAGACTAACGAATGGCACAGATTTTCCCGATCGGGCAGAAACGCAAACTTGGTCCTGCGACCCATGCAACAAGACATGTCCAGCCTTCGAACACACGTGTTGGTGGGCCGGGCGTGGCAGTCATGACAAATAAGAGCCTGGCGCACCTGGCACAGCCGTCCACGCATGCCATCTGCTCGCACCAGTCTCTCGGGGCCTGGAAGGAAACTGGGCGAAGGGAAGCAGGGGCAGAACCGAGCCCACCACGCAGACCACAGCGGGCCTTGGCAACCAGGGCGTCCGAATAGCTCCCTGGGAATGCATCCCAAGGTTTCCCTCATCTTCTTAGCCGCTTCAATGTTCGTCGAAAAGTCAGGGGTTGGGATACACACATCGCATGCGATCTGTCTGTCCACCCTTTACAATTCACATACACCGCCGGTGGCCCTTGGAGCGGTGCTCCAAGGGTCATCTGGCCTCAGTTTGAGGAAAGCAGCACCCACTAGGGCATCATGCCACCAGGAACCAGGAGAAATATGAGGAAGACGGCGAGGAGGACGGAGGAGAAGCAAATCGTCGTCGTCGTCGTCGACTCGGCGGCGACCAGCGGCGGAATCCCCTCCGAGCCGTCCCTCGCCCGCTCCACCGGCGGGCTGCTTCGAGAGCGCCCCAGGTCCTGCAGCAACTGCTGCGCCCGCCTGGCCGGGCAGGCGGCCGCACTCCGACGCAGGGGGGGCGCCCGGGGCGCCCGCGGTCGGGCCCGCCTCCCCGACGGCCCCAAGACCTCCGCCTTTGGTGTCTGTTCCATGGGGGCCCGCGTGGCCCCCGACGCTGTCCGACTGGAGGCCGGGTTTGGAACGCCTCTGAGACCAGATCTGGACCGGACTCGCGCCGTCACACAGGGGACGAGAAGAACGAGGAGAGGGAGGAGCAACAGGAAGGGCGAGGAGGAGGAGGAGGAGGAGGAGGAGGATAAAAGGAGGAGGGGGAAGAAACGAGCCTGCTCAGACAGCGGCGGGGCTTCTCAGAAGCCCCTTTCTGGCTTTCTGAGATGCCATCTGTGGCTTCGGAGAAGTGTTAGGCAACTGTTCAAAAGGCCGGAAGCCTTCTCAGTCTGAGCCTTCTGTGAAGGCCCGCCCCCTGTGCCTTCCCCGTCGGCACGCCGCCGCAAGGAGGAACCGGAGGCGAGCAGGGTGTTTCTCGGCCTGGGTCTCCACTGTGCTGGGGTGTCGGGTCGGGCGAAAGGGGGGGATAGCAAATGGGGGTTTGAGAATCAGCTCACGTAGCGAGCGGCGGCTATGGATCGAGGAATGGGCCCCTCAGTGAGGCCGAAACCAGCTGCATGCAGCAAATTTCGTTCCCCCCCCCTTCCCAATCCCCCCCTTTCGCCCGGCCCGAGGGTGGCGCTCGAGGTCTGCTCCGCCAGAGGGGAGAGAGCAGAGCGCAGCAGGGCAGGGCAGGGCAGCACTCCGAGGGTCTCCGAGGGCGCACACAACTGGAAAAGAGAGCCGACGCCGCCAGGGAGGCCCCACGCAGGGAAGGACGGGCGGACCGGGCGTCCGAGGACCAGGAGCAGAACAGAGGTCAAAACATCCTTCCTCCAGAATGCAGTCGGGGGCTTGACCTAAGGAACCCAAAATAAGGAACGAGGCCCCTATTCTCCATAAGTTGAACTTCGATTTCGTATCGAAAACCTAAGGAAAACCTGAGGCAAGCTGCGAAACAATTAAGGAACACGGAGCCCCTCCCCAACGAAAAGGGTTCCTTCTTCAGGGCCCCGACTGTAGCCACCCCGACGCGCGAAGTCGTTTTTAGCAAACGCGCCCAGAGAAGGCATCGAACAGGGGGGGGCTGTTCAGGAAACGCCCAGGGCCGCTTCGCAAACGCCAATGGTCGGGTCTGGGCGGTTGCTCCCCCCTTGACGGAAGGAGCGAGCGAGCGGGCGGAGTCCGAGAGGCAGCAGGGTCAGTCCGGCCCGACGGGCGGAGGTGTTCCCTCCCCCCAAGGGCCCAGGCCCAAATGACATCCTTCAAGAACATGAGACCCTCCGCCGGCCCAAACACACAGAACATCAAGAGCATCCAACGAGCACGAAGAGCACGAGGGCACCCTCCCCGAACAGACCTGAATCTTGTACCTCGGTCCGACGGTACAAGGTCCAGGCCCAGTAGGGGCAGAAGTGCGAGGCGGAGATTTGTCAATGTCCACCGCACAGGAACTGACGTCCTGGTGCCCCGGCGGGCGGTGGATATGAATGTTGGCCACCTCGGGGGCCGAATCTATTCATATCCACCGCCCGTGGTCCGCGAAACTCGACCCCCCCAGGCGGTGGCTATGGATACATCCCCGCCTCGGAAGAAGGATACTGCGAAAGAGGAGCAGGAGGACACGTTCAGGAGCCTTGGCTCAGCGTGTCGCGGCGGCGGCCCCTGGCGGCACGGCATGCCGTGCAGGCGGATGGCGTGTCGCTCCGAGGGGCGGGAGGCTTCGAAAGGCTCGGGAAGCTGGTGCTCGGGGACTGGGAGGTGGTCAGCGTGCTGGGCTGGGGCGGCGCGGCACAGCAAGCAGAAGTTCTTGATCGCATGGCGAGCGAAGTGGGAGGTGGGAAGTTACCAGCCTGGAACATATCCCCATCCCTATGCTGAGCACCTCCTCACCACGATGCCAATCTTAGGAATTGCCATATTTTTTCAGGGCGGATCCCTAAGATTGTCATCGCCTTTTGGCGCGTCAATCTTAGGGATAGGGATACGTTCGAGGCTGGTAAGGAAGACCCAGAGGCCTCCCAGATGGGGTCCGAGTAGATGGGGCCGGAGCACTGCACCCGATCGCCGATGCATCGCCGATGCATCGGCGATGCACCGACGATGCATCGGCGACGTCGGCGATGCATCGGCGACGTCGGCGTCGGGAAGCACGGGTTCCACATCGAACCGCACCGCCGATGCATCGGCGATGCGGCGCGATCCTCCGACCCCATCTACTCCGACCCCATCTAGTTGAGGGATGAAAAAACGACCCTACCCTGGGTTATGAGTGCGTGGTCTGTAAACCTCCTGGGAACCCCCAAAGCCTGAAGCCGCCAGGACGCGGCACATCACGCAGGGTTTACCCTGTCAGCCCACAGGAGTTTCAGCGCACAGCGCCTCGTAAACCAGGGTAGGGGCGTTTTTCCTGCCCTTGATCTAGGAGGCCTAGAAGAGCACATGGAACTCCAGCTCGGCTCGCGTTTGCTGGCTCCTGGGCGACGACCTCCTGTCCGCACCTCTCGAGCGCCACCCCTGACACCCGCCGATCTGATAGTGTCTTAGGTTGGGCGTGTCCCCCTTCAGGTGGAGCTTGGACGAACAACCAAAAATAGTCAAACGTCAAACATATTCCAAAACATGACCCCAAGTACTCCCAAATTCGACCCCAGACTATTTTTGACCATTCTTGAACACTCCTCCTGTATAGGGACACTCCCAGCTTACATCTTGCCCGATGCGCGGCCCCATGAGGTCCCGACCCCTTCCCCTGGGCAAGCGTTCGCCCCGAACCCAGGTTCGATGGCCCCGGGGCCCGATACCTGGCCCCGAAAGCCGCAACCAGTTACCAGCCTCGAACCTATCCCTAAGATTGGCACGCCAAAAGGCGATGACAATCTTAGGGATTCGCCCTCAAAAAATAAGGGAATCCCTAAGATTGGCATCGTGGTGAGGAGGTGCCCAGCATAGGGATGGGGATATGTTCCAGGCTGGTAACTTCCCACCTCCCACTTCGCTCTCCATGCGCTCAAGAACTTCTGCTTGCCGTGCCGCGCCGCCCCAGCCGTGACTGAGACTGGCATCGTGACGAAGAGGTGCCCAGCACAGGGATAGGGGTATGTTCCAGGCTGGTAAGATACCTGGCCCCGAAAGCCGCAACCAAGGGAAGACGCATGGATTGACCACATCATACGTATCCGTCGGAGACCGGGGCGCCCGCCCGCGCTGCGGCGGAGGCGAGGACCAAGCCGAAGCCAGGACGAGGATAACTTCGGGCGAAGATAAAACGAGAATCTCTGAGATCCAGCGTTGTGAATGCCATGACAGTGGACCCCCTAACGATCCTATCATTGAACTGTGAAGATGTTTAAAAAATGTTTGGCAAGTGATCTAAACATGTGTGAAACATGTGCTTTACCTGTTCAGGATATGTTTCGAACATGTCTTAGACATCTGGGAACTGTTTGGCAACGTGCTTCCTCTCCATTGAGTTTATCCATCTGGCTCGATCCCGCGTGTCGATTGGCGAAGAGTCGACAAGCCCTTGGGTATCTCTCCGGGGCGGCCAGGGCGCCCGCCTAGAGAGCTGCAGGGAGGTGGTCCAGTCGCCCGCTCGGTAGCTGTCGTCGGCAAGCCGGAGGAGCTCCGCAGCCTCCACCTTCCGGACGTGCCTGCGGGCCGGGCGCCGGGCCGCTCCTCCGCGCCCTCGGCCACCCCCCCCCTTTCTCCCCGTCCTCGCCCCTCGGCCCTCCGCCCTGGATCTTTTCCTCGTCGCCCCTCCCTTCTCGTCCTCGTCCTCGTCCTCGTCCTCGTCCTCGTCCTCCTCCTCCTCCTCCTTCTCCTCCTCCTGCTCCTCCTCCTCGTCGTCCTCGTCCTCGTCCTCGTCGATCTCGTCCTCGTCCTCCTGCTCGTCCTCGTCCTCGTCCTCGTCCTCGTCGTCATCGTCGTCGTCGTCCTCCTCCTCCTCCTGTTCCTCCTCCTCCTCCGAGGCACCGACAGGGTGCCCTGGCGCAGTCCAAGAAATCCCGCGCTGTTTCTGTTCATGCAATTTGTATGTTTCGATCCGATCCTCTCCCCCGGGGCCACAGAACCGTGTGGTACCGGACCGCGTGGTGACCTTTGAATCTCCATCGACCTCGCCGCGCGGTCCGTCACCGCACGTTCTTGGGACCTCGGAGACCCCAGTCGCCCGAGACGCCCTCGGCGAACGACTCGAGTCTCAAAGCCGCGCGGTGACTCCGAATCCCCACTGACTCACCAGGCTGTGTGGTCACCAAACCGTCTGGGGGCCCCAGGAGACCCCATAATCGAATCGAAAATCGGATCGGCGATCGAAATGAATCGGATCGGCGGAAATCGACAACCGACACGGGAGAATTCGAATCGGCGGACACCGGCAACTGGGCCTCCCTTGAGAAATCGGGATCCTCGCCAGAATCCGACGTCGAACCGAATCGGCATCGCAAGCCTTCGAAATCGAACCGAATCGAAGGAGTCGAAGGGAGCCCTGGGGGCTGCGCGGTTTCCCTCGGGGCCGTAGGCGACCCGAGGAGGAGGAGGAGGAGGAGGAGGAGGAGGAGGACGAGGAGGAGGAGGAGGAGGAGGAGGTGGCTCGAGGGGGAGGAGAAGATGGAGGAGAAGATGGAGGAGGAGGAGGAGGAGGAGGAGGAGGAGAGGAGGAGGAAGAGGAGGAGAGAGGTGGGGGAGGATGATGACGAGGACGAGGACGAGGACGAGGAGGAGGAGGAGGAGGAGGAGGAGAGGAGGAGAGGAGGTGGGGGAGGATGATGACGAGGACGAGGAGGAGGAGGGAGGACGAGGAGGAGGGAGGGAGGTGGGGGAAGATGATGACGAGGACGAGGACGAGGAGCGGGCGGGGCGGCCGGGGGGAGGGGCGCCCGGCGGGCCTCCGCACGCGGCGCAGGCGGCGCGCCGTGAAGAAGCGCAGGCGGGCTCCCCGCCGCGCGCCGCGCGGCGGGGACTCGGAGTCGGTCTCGGCCTCGGGGCGGCCCGGGGCCCCTCGAGGGCAGCTCCCCCACCCCCTCCCATCCCTTCTGCTCCACCTCCTCCTCCTCCTCCACCTCCTCCTCCTCCACCTCCTCCTCCTCCTCCTCCTCCTCCTCCTCCTCCACCTCCTCCACCTCCTCCTCCGCCTCCCGTCCTCCTGCTCGTGCTCCTCCCTGGATACCTCGGACACCTGCCCAGAAGACGCCCGCGGAGCAAGCGGCCGCTACCTGCATTCTTGGCTTGGCCGAGGGCTATGAACGGACGCGTGGATTTTTTTCCCGGTTTGAATTCTCAATTCAATGTTTTCGCAGAGGCAAGCAGGATGTCGAATCATCTGTGATTTCTAAGTTGCGGTTGCGGCAGATAAAGACTCATTCGCTGCAGGTGCCGCCGAAGGAAAGCAGTCTACGGAATCCTGCAAGAGCCGCGCGCGCGTTGCTGGCACACCGTGGACACGGAAAGGAAACGTAATTGGCGAACTGCGAAATCCGCGCGAGTGGCTGCGCGGACGGTTGCGCAACAAGCAGATGCAGTGGCATGGTAGCGGGCTGAAAGAGACCTGTCAGACCTACGGGAGTATAGCCGCCAACTGGAGATTGCAAGGACGACCGAAGCGGGCCAGCGTAATTTTGTGAGATGCGCTTCGTAGGAAGTGAACTACCAGGAGCACGCCAACACCGCAAAACATGAACAACTGGGCGCGCGCATGAATGGCCAGATCGAGGCTGGTCAATGGTGCCACTAACCAAAACCATCCGATGGACATGGGATGCTGCGTTGCTTTCAGGTGACGCATCGAGATTGCAGTCCTGCGCCTGCGGCCCAACCGAAAAAACATGCGGCCCGTCGTCATTCAAATCATCGGGTTCAGCGGCTCAGTGGGCATATTTTTGAACGCTCAAATTATCACGACGGCGCGATGCCGACTGCATTTCGCAGCTGGCCGCTACAACGCCCCAGGATGTGCTCAAAAAGCGTTGGGGAATTCGTTGCGTGGGCGCGGTTTGAAACTTGTATTTCGAAAGAGGGGATCGACGCACTTGATCCCAAAACGTAGTCTTTGGAATTGCGCAAGACGATTGAATGGGCGCGCTGGCGGGCGACAGCAAAATGGGCAGGGGGGGGAGGATGATGGGGGGCAGCAGTACTTTCAAAGAGGCGCGGGGACATGTAAATATCACTGCCATGGCTGCCGCGAAGGCTTCCAACGCCTGAGACAACAATGGCGGTGCTGTGGGACCACAGGGGCATGCGCTGCGGAGTCAAAAGGAATGGTTGGGGGTAGCCGTAGCATTGTTCTACCCAGCGCGCAAAGCCCGCAGATGTTCACCCAGAACGGCTGCCCATGCGCCCCGCGCGGCGGGAGTCATTATGGATAGTGCTGCCCAGTCGCAGATCATGCGATTGTCCCCCGTCGCCCTGTCCATCCCAGTGCTGAATTTCGTTGCTGGCGCAACGTGTACAAACTTATTCCGGACTCTGCGGTCCGCAGAGCATGCCAGTGAATCCGCCAGGTCACCCCTGCCCCGACAGGTTCGGCAAAGCAATGCTAACGCGAATGAACAAACTGACCGCGGCAACAGCAGCAGCAACTGGGGTGGGAGCGGGGCGGGTGGACCTCCATCGGCGGCGGATTCGCCGCTTCTCGCTTCCCTCGCACATATCGCGAAACCCTCTCCTAAAAGTTCACCCGTTATCTTCTTTGCTTATGGCCCCCCCATCAAAATCTACAGGCTGTTCTGTTGTCCCTCGTCCTTTGTCGATTTCACTGTCCTGCTCCCCCTCTTCCCACCAGCTCCTCACCCTGACCGCCCTGGCCCTCTTCCCCCTCCCACGCGCTCGTGGAAGCGCCCCCCAATGCCCCGCGATGGCGGGAACACGTCCTCGGAAGAAGAGCGACCACAGCGAGCGCGCCGCGCGCTCCGAAGGAAGACCCTGGACGACCCAATGGGGGCCCACAATTGCTCCGAAATGGGGTTCGGATCTACCTCCAGCGCGGATTTCTTGGAAAGCCTACTACACGCTACACAATTGAACGTCGAGCAGCTCATGTGACATCTACGATCCGACGGGCAATGAAGCCACACATAATACAAGAACTCAGGGTAACTTCAAAATCCGAATGCACATATCCGAACAAATCGCAAACAAAAGCAAGAAAACCAAACATCGGACCATCGCAAAAAAAGGGCATTCGCTGTCGTTCCTCCTCCATCCTCCCTTCCCCCCCCAATCCCATTCCCTTCCCTGTCAGTCCAAACCAAGTCCCCCTGCTATGCCCCCCCACCCCCCTTCCCTCTGCCCCCGTCTTCTTCGTCTGTGTTTGTCCCGTGCCTCTGTTTCCTCTTCCACTTTTACCCCTCCGACCCTTCCCTCACGAACCAAATCACAACAAACCCGCTCGCTCTCCCCCGCGAGTCCGTCGAACTTCACTGCCTCCCCCTGTTGCCCGAGCACCCGCTCTGGGATTCTGAGTGCCCAGACGGACTCCAGCAGATGACGATGAGAAATCTGGGGCACAGGTGGCAATCCTAGAATAGCAAGTACCATCAACATCCGCCCACGGCTGCGAATTTTGTCGCAAATCCCCATCACCCAACGCTATGCGAGTTGGCAATTCGTGCTCCGACTGCGCCTGTGAGGACGGGGGTCGCGGGGACCCCCATGGGCGAACCCATGGATGCGAGGGCGGCGGCAATGGCGAGAAGATGATAACTCGCGCTAGGAGGCTGCAGAAACACAGAACACATACCAATATTGATTTCCACGATGCTTTGCAACGCCCGATCGGGGCACCATCCAAGGCAACTCGTTCATCAGTGGCTCGCACTCGGAACTGCGTTCAGATACGCCGACCCTGCGGGCCACGCGCGTTCGACACCGTGACATCTGTGTTTTACGACAGAACGCGGGCGGCTTGACAAGAAAGGCCGCGAGTGCACGACGGCGTTCCACAGCCCCGCCGCATCAGAAATGAAGTCGCTTCGCGCATCCCCACGAGCCCATCCGCAAGCAATATCAAAGCCATTCGCCTTTGTCACCGAAAAGGCCGATCAGGGCGGGGGGATACGCAAAGAAAAGGAGGGGCCAAACTTTTATCGTCTAACGCTGGCGATGCTCAATACGTGGACATCTGCAACATTTGTCTTGCACGACAGGTCCACGTGTTTATCCCGACGGCAGCCGCGACGCCCTCCGGGCCCCCGCCGCGGCCGTCTTGAGTTCCCGGGGGGCAAACCGCCCAAGCGCAATTTTAGAAGGCCCGTGGGGAGTGTCAAATAAGGGCCAACAACCTGTTAAGAACAAGGGTTCCATTGCGACAGGCGGCTGGGTCCGCCCAGGGGTCCCTTGGCGGCCTCTTTGGGCCATGTCCGGGCCCCGTCGGTGCAATTCATGGCGCGCCACTACGACGTCTTAATCCTTCCAGAAAGTACCACAAGGCTCCCAACGGATGCTACTACCACAACCCCTATTGCAGTATCCGTGCGGCGCTCTCTTGGGATCCTCTGGCGGCCCCACTGGTGCCCCCTCAAAGTTCTCAGCGAGCCCCCCTGGAATACTCACAGGGCCCCCCTCGCCAGGGCCCCATGCGAGACCAAAAGCAGGGGCCTCGAAAACCCCGCCAGCGGATGTTGCGACGCCCCCAATAACTTCTAGCATCGGTAGGGCGCCCGCCTGGGGCCGTGACGGGCCCATACCAAGATGTTATTGGATCTTGCGCGGGCTCGCTAAGCAACCCCAGACGCGCCCAATGATAGATCAACGCGGGCCGCTCACGACAGCGACGCCTGGGGAAGAGGGGGGCTGGGGCAACGCAAGAGCAAGTTGAAGGAAAATCGGAAACATAGCGTGCATGTGATAAGGATGCGCACGGAGGGTCGATTTGCGCATTGGGGGGGCTCCAGCGGGTTTCCTCAGGAGGATCGACTTGCGCCCGTTCCTCGTTCTTCGGTCCTGCTGGGAGGAGTGAAGAGGGCGGATGGGGAGGGGGGAAAGGGGGAAGCATTAGAGGGCAGGGGGGGGGGCACTGATGAGGGGCGGAGGGTGGCCCTCCACTATGATTTCGGGGTGCTCTGGGTGCACCCAGGACGTCCTAGCGGGACCCAGGAGGGCCCCCCGAGGGCTCCAAGACGGCAGATTCCCACGGTCTCTTAGGAAGTTTGCCCCGCCAGATTTCGTTTCCCGCGGTCTCGTCGGGAGTTTGCCCCGCCAGATTTCGCTTCCCGAAGAGGCTATTTTGGAGGCTCCACGACGTCAAATCGGGCTCCACGAGTGCCCCCAGGGCTCCAAGAGGGCACCCAAACACATACACACAAAACGGTGAACAGCTGGTCGTTTACAAGTGTTCCTCTTCTCGGGCCCCTGCTGGGGCCATGCAGGGGCCCTCGCGAGGCCGCCTTGGAGGTCACGCTGGGGCGCCCAGGACGTCCCAACGGGTTCCACGAGTGCCCCCAGAAGGCCTCCAAAGGGCGCCCAAAACACACGCACAAAACGGTAAACAGCTGGTTGTTTGCCATGTTTCCTCTTTTCGGGCCCCTCTGAGGCCACGCAGGGGCCCTCGTGAGGCCGCATTGGAAGTCCCAATGGTGCACCCAAGACGCCCCAACGGGCTCCGCGAGTGCTCCCAGCGTGCTCCAATAGGGCGCCCACAGCACACAAAACCGTCAACAGCTGGTTGGTTACCATGTGTCCTCTTCTCTGGCCCCTCTTGGGGCCATGCGGGGGCCCTCGTGAGGCCGCTTTGGACGCCCCATAGGGCGTTTCTGGGACGTCCTCGCGGGATCCGCGAATGTTCCCTGGAGGGCCCAAGAGAGCGCCCACAACGCAGAAAAACGGTAAACAACTAGTCGTTTACCATTTTTCCTCTTCTCGGGCCCTTGCCTGGGCCCATGTGGGGACCCTCGTGAGGCCATCTCGGCACGCGCGAAGCGCTAATTGATCGCCAACCGCCCCTCGGCTGACGACCCCCCACGGCCTCGCTCAGAGGCCGCCCAAAAGCAAAACTCAAGCAAACAGCTCCATGGCCTTCTTGAAGGCAGCGTCGTCGCCGTCGCCCGCTGACTTGGAGGTCTTGGCCTTCTTCGCCTTAGCGGAAGATGCGGACCCCAGTTTCTTGTCCACGTCTGAAACCATAGCGTCGTAGGTGGCCCGGACCTCGGGCGCGCACAAATACCCATAGATGCGGAAAGGTTTCACGTCCTTCAGGGTAGCATTGCCAGCGCCAGCTTTCTTTTTGACATCGGGGTACATCAAAGCCAAGGCCTCTGCTCCGAAAGCGGTGGCTTTTGGATTTCCTTCAGCAGCAGGCTTCACCTGGCGGACGAAGTTGGGGATCAGAGCGACGACATCGGAGAGCATCTCGTCCTTGCCCGCGGTTGCCACATTCGGCGCCGCTCCCTCCACGATCCGCCCGATAATTCTATGAACCGTGAGGAACTTACCCTGTTGCGTCGAATTCGCAAGCTTGAAAGTGTCGCTCTGGCGCAACTTGTCAAGCTCCTGCAACGTCTGCTCTGGGGTCACTGCGGCGCTGGTCGAAGGCATTGCCTTCGCCATTGCCTGCTTCAGACGCAAGCCTGCGCCCTCGCCCGTGATATGCAACAGCAAAGCGATTTCCACGCCGAATGCTGGTTCCTGCTCGATCCAAGCCCTATCCTGGTCCTTCACGAAACCAGCCAACGCCTCCCCGTCCGAAATCCCCGCAGAAATGATGGACGCGCTGGCGCTCTCCCGAGCAACGCCGAAGGGCGCCAACATCTCCTCAGGAATGTCGCCCTTGGGTTCCGCCGGCGGCGCCGTGATGGCGTCGGCCTGCGAGAAGACGCGCAAGAATTGACGACAGTGGCGTTTGCAGCGATAGTCATGAGCGCAGGGGCCAACATTGCGATCACGACGATGACAGACCTCAGAGTCGTGTCCCTGGGAACGCGCAAGCGCGCCTTCTGGCCATGTCCGCGCAGCAGCACGCTGAACCTCAACCCCCCTCTAGCGGGGAACCCCTGATGGGCCAGGGCCCTGCGCCTCAAATGTCCAAGAAGGGCTCTCATTTAGGGGCGTGTTTTCGAGCATCCTCACCTCGCCGCAAACCTCCTTCGAGAAAACATGATCGACCCACGAACCCGGAAAGGAATATAGAACTGTAACGTGTGGCAACATGTTCAAAATCACCTGTTTGGGTAACGGTCAAGTGCAATGCTGATTGTATCGATCTTGATGTACCGTGCCGAGGGCTGCGCTGTGCTGCGCCGTGCTGAATTGCGATGTACCATGCCGCGGTTGTACTCTATAGAGTCGTGGATCGAGTCCTCCTTTGCATCCGAGTCCTGACCAAACTGATCTGGATCGTAACCTCGAGCTGCCTGAACACACAGTAGCTGGCCCAGAGCTAATTGACAGGGGGACATGCCAGGAGGACGTGCCGCGAAACGTCCCGAGGGACGCGCCAGGCGACATGCCAGGGGGCGTGCCATGGGGTCGCACCGTAGGACGTGCCAAGGGGACGCGCTACGGAACGTGCCAATGGATGCGCCACGGAATGTGCCAGGGGACGCGCCACGCGACGTGCCAGGGGGACTCGCCAAGGGATGCCCCATGGAACGTGCCAAGGAACGTGCCAATTTGCAATGCTGATTGTATCGATCTTGATGTACCGTGCGGAAGTCTGTGCTGTGCTGCACCGTGCTGAATTGCGATGTGCCATGGCGCGGTTGTGCTCTGTAGCGTCGTGGATCGAGTCCTCCTTTGCATCCGAATCCTGACCAAACTGATCTGGATCTTAAGCTCGAGCTGCCTGAACACATAGTAGCTGGCCCAGAGCTAATTGACAGGGGGGCATGCCAGGAGGACGCGCCGCGGAACGTCTCAAGGGACGCGCCAGGCGACATGCCAGGGGACGTGCCATGTGGACGCACCGCGGGACGTGCCAAGGGGGCGCGCTACGGAACGTGCTGGGGACAAGCGCCTCGCTCGAGACATCCTGTCAAAATCCTCATTCTAGACATCCGCCTGAGCGACGTGGACACGTGAAAACAAACGCGTCGCTCAACACATCCTCAGCACATTATCATGCTAGACATCGGCCTGGGCGAACTGGACACGTGAATACAAGTAGTTCGCAGACATCCTCAACACATCTTCATGTGATGCGTCCGTTTGGGTGCCCTGGGCACGTGAAAACAAGCGTTTCGCTCGAGACGTTTTCAACACCTCCTCATTCTAGACACCCGCCTTGGCGACCTGTACAAGTGAAAACAAACGCCTCGCTCGAGACATCCTCACCACACCTTCATGTCATACGCCCGCCTGGGCGACCTGGACACGTGAAAACAGGCGTATATCTCGAGACATTCTCAACACATCCTCATGCTAGGCATCCGCCTGGGCAGCCTGGACACGTGCAAACAAGCATCTCGATCGAGACTTCGCCATCACCTCCTCATTCTAGACATCCGCCTGGGCGACGAGGACGCGTAACCCAAGCGTCTCGCTCGAGACATCCTCAACAAATCCTGGCGCTGGACCTCTGCCTGGGCAACCTGGAGGCATGAAACCAAGCGTCTCGCTCGAGACATCCTCAAGACCTGGGCACGTGAAGCCAAGCATTTCGCTTGAGAGGTCCTCTAAATTCTGGCCCCCAGGAGAGGGCAATCTATAACACAAAACAAGCGTTTCGCTCGAGACATCCTCCGCACATTCTTAACCAAACCACATGTTTCGCGAGGGGCATCCTCAAATTGTAATTCGCCGGCCCTACGCGACCCCGTTATTTATCGCAAAAGAAATCCGCCGGCCTGCAGCCGTCAGATCCGGGGGCAAACTCCTAAAAGGGAGCCCTGGGCCCACGCCCCTTCCAGGAAAATCCTGGGCCATCTTTTTAAATCCAGAACCCAGGGAGGACCTCGAGCATGCGTCGGAACCCGAAAACCTGTGACACTTCTCACTCTGACTGGGATCCAGGAGCGAATGCTGAAACAAGGAGCCCATCAGAACAGCTACGCACCCTAAGTGGTCTCCTCCCCCCTCCCCCATATCCCCGACGCCCTGCCCCCCCCCCCCATCCCACGCAAGCGGCGGGGCACTGGGAGCGAGCACAAAGAGGAGGAGAAGGAGGGGGCGGAAAGACGAAGGAGGACGGCCTTGGGAGCAAGGACGAAAGACCACGGAGGAGGAAAGCATTACATGCCCAAGGAAATCCGTGGGATGGCTGGAGTATGGCTCCAACGTGACCGAAAAATATTCCTCTGGTGGCCCCACGCGGCAACGCGGCAGCCACGAAAATGACCGAGCACGATGCCCGGCACGGCAACAGGATTTCGAGTGGCGTAGGCAAAACAATAAACACAACCATATGGTTTCTTAGCATTGCGGGAAGCACCGACACCAGGCGATGCTCGGGGTAACCAGCCCGCAACAGTGTCCAAAGCTGCAACGAGAGTTGTTCATCGGGCTCGGGGCCTGCTCGTAGCATGTCCAAATTTTGCCGCAACTCGGCGCGATCGCCCCGAGCCATGCAATAAGGCAATTGCTTCGTGCAGTCGAAGATGCGGAACTGCACGAAAGCCTTGATGACGAGGCCTGCCCTGATGCACCGGTGCCGCAGAGCCTGCCCAGACAATTCTACGAGACCTCCGAAGCAGCTGTAAACCGACAGAGGGAGCGATGACAGCCATGATAGTTCATCTTGAATCACGTCCTGGAGCTCGTCCTCTCTAAGTAGAACGCGGCTGTCCTTCATCAGTTCTAATAGCAACCCATCGCTGACCCTCGTGACGAGCGACTGCACAACCACAAACTCCAAGCGGTCACCAGATAATCGGGACCACCCTCTGAGGAAGTATTTGCTGGATGCTGGGTCGTTCAATATGTACTGGACCAAATCGGACAAACCAAGCATCAGTCCAGCAACCACGCCTTGCGCAGAAGATCCCACGGAAGCCCACCGTGTTTCAGAGAACCTGCGAAACGAGAACGCTGTCAACATGATGCCTCGTATTCGGGAAAATAAATCCTCCTCAGCAGCGAACGAAGTTTCACAAACCAACAAACGGCCATCCACAAAACGCAACTGCAATTGTTCGCATATAGCATCGATGATGTCGGAATCAACGCCGATGCATACCCACGTCATTCGGTATTCGTCGATTTCTGGTGGACTGAGAGGGAGGGCTGCTTGAATCCTCAGGGCGATCCATTGGTCGAGGTAGTCACCTATCAAAGTCACGCTGTTACGAAGGGACTCAAAACCGACGAAAACATCACGAAGTAAGTCCTTGTCCCCGTACTCAAAGAACATCGCCCACTCGTTTGCTTTGCTCACGTCGTGGCACGCGCACGCCGTCGTGAATACAAATTGCGTGAGTCCGAGCATATCTCCTGTCACCCCGTCGGAGTCTTCAAACACCTCTGCGTTATGGTGCGCTTTCACCAAACGAGAGAGTGCTCCATATTTGGCGCGATCCCAGCAATCCGCCTCCGCGCCAATGGGCTCGGAATGGGCGCGCCCCCAGGTCCTGCCCCCAACCCTCTCGGCCCCAACCCCCATCCCAGCCGACAGTTCGGGTCCAGGGCCGACGCCTCATGTCATCCGAGGCGCGGCGCGCCTTCGAACGGCTTCTCGCATGAGCGTTTCGGGCACGCGAAAGCCACGTGAGAAAAACAGCAGGGGTTCAAACGCACCCGCGAGACGGTCCAAAGAAAAGCGCGTCGCTGCATGAACAATCAAAAATGTCGCGGACAGCCTGTTAAAACAATCCAAACAAGCCCCGATGGATTTTCCGAATGCCCTCTATGCGCGCTTCCATCGGGCACCCACCATCGCAGGAGCCTTGAGTCCCCATGGATTTGGGAAGATATCCTGCCATGTCGCTTCGACGGCGCCCTGACGCTCGAGAGCGGCCAGTGAAACCCCCGACAACTCCCCCTATTCGGCGCGAGAGGCTTCCAGGAATCCCCCCAAAGCGGCCCATGCCCCAAGACGGTTCAAAAACTGCCCAAAGCGAACCGAAGGGCCAAAAACAAATGCCCAACAACCGCCCTGACGAACAGACAACCCCAACTTGCCGCTCCACGAGGCCCCCCTGATGGCGCAAAACGCGCCCGGAAAGCCCCCAAAGGCCCCCAAACAGCCCTCAAGAAGCCAAACCGACGCCCCAGGAGGCCCAAAAACGATACCCATGTGGCCTCAACCCTGCCCCAAAGAATCTCCCGAATAGTTCCGAATCATATCCCAGCGACATCCCAAATTGTCTCAGGCCTAGAACCCAAACGCGCTGGCGGCATTGGCAGGAGGCCATTCACTAGTGTTCCACGGCAACGCCGCGAAAGCCAGCATTTCTCAAACTGACCGTTTTCCCCTGCATAATACCAAACTCATGGACGGCGCACTTTCCGTGCAGCATGGGCGTAGGAAACAAAGGCAGCGCGCGAGTTTCAATGCGATTGCAAGCGTCAGCAAAGCGATAAAAGCTGCAACCCACGAGGAATTCAAAACAACTCTTGCCTGAACGTTTGACAATTTTGTCGCTGCTGAGCTCTCCTACGATGCGGGCAGATATCGTCAATGGCGTCCCGTCCGTGGACGTGGACCGGAGGGCTGTGCCCTCGCAGCCGAGTGCACCAGCGGCCCCGCGGACAGTAGCTTGCAACATGCTCTGGGATACTTGGGCCACGCAGTGCAGCTCGCGACCCTCATGCTCTGCTAACGATTTAGATGCCTTGGCAAAGCGAGCGATGCAATCAAACGGGTGCAATTCGCTGGAGCTGGCCATTTTCAGCCAAACGGCCTGAAGGAGAACGCGGATGGTGGGGAGGACGAATAAAGCCTGAACCGCAGCCGCGCTCGCGCGACGTGACCGCGTGAAAAAATCAAGCAGGCACCTGATAGGCTCGCGCCGTCTCTTGGTTTTGAGGACGCGGGCTGGGCGATCCACTCAACGAGCACAATGCTGAACGCCTCCCCCACCCCCTCTCCAGAAGACCCCTGGACGCCCTGATGCGTCTGCAATGACGCGCCGTCCGAAAAGCCAACTTGTTCCCCTGGCAAATTCGAACTGCCAAGACCGACGAAATGGCTGAATATGCTGCTTACGCGGCACAACGTGACTCCAAGATGGCCGAAGATAACCAGAACGAGGCTCCACAAGGACCCCCCCCCATGAAGACACCAAGCAAACCTTCAAGAAATCAAACGTACGCTGGCGTATGATATCGTCAAGAAATGCCTGTTTCGTCATCTCCCACGCTTCGGGCACCGGCATGCTCAAGCTAGCTAGAACGGCCCCCAAGACGGCCACGAAACAACGAGGGAGGACATAGGAAAACACGCGAGGCATCCACTGGGCACCAAGTCGACCCAAAAGAGCCGCAAGACGTTTCTGACCGATCCTAAAAGGACCGCGAACTGGCACAAGAGAAGCCCCAGCATGACAAATGACACCGTGTGAGGGCCTGCGCGGGTCCTGTGCAGCGTGGAGACTGGAGGCGGGGAAGGACGAACAGTAGGATATCGATGGCGAGATAGATGGGGAAGGAGACATGCAACGATAAAGGAACAAGGGAAATAAATGGAGTCGAGGTTTGTAGTCCGAACGGCTATTACGCGAGATGTCCAATAATAACATTCGACAACATGGCAGAATCGCCACGAAACGAAAAATCAACATAAAAAATGAAGACGTGAATCCACGCTGAATTCACTCCTAGCACCGGCGAAACCAAGCATTCCGCAGGACCCACCTCGAGGCCAGTGCCCCCGCTCTCGCCCCAGGGCTCTCGGAAGGCAGGACGACGACTAGGCGCTCCCCTCCTCGGACCTTGTGCCCGCTCCAGTGGCCTCCAACGCTCGAGGGCGAAGTACAGGAAAAGGGAGCCCCCAGAAAACGTTCGACTGGGGCTCACGAGGAGGAGGAGGAGGAGGAGGAGGAGGAGGAGATAGGCAGCGAATCACTAATGCCTTTACGAGCGAGCGAGGAGGAGGAGGAGAAGGAGGAGGAGGAGGAGGAGGAGGAGGAGGAGGAGGAGGGGGGAAGGGGGAGGAGGAGGAGGAGGAGGACGAGGAGGAGCAGGAGGAAGAGGAAGAAGAACGACTGGGGCGCACGCCCCGCGACCAGGCGCGACCCAAGGCGGCCCTGGCTGGGCGAGCCGGATCCCGAGGACGAGCCGACCAGGGACGGCACACTCGGCGGCGACGATAGGGGCGAACAGCCCAGGGGCGGGTATTACATGTACTTGCCCGGGAGCATTTTCGCAGACATAGATCATCGGCGCACCTGAATACATGATTGCTCTCCCCTGGGCCATTCGCCCCTACCATCGCCTATGACACACCTGGCCGAGATTATTGCGAATCTCACCATGAGTACTCCACGAGGCTGATATGTCAGATGGCCCTCGTCAATCGGAATACATGTTCGGTGTTTTTAAGCGATGTTCCCGCTGCAGGGTGGCCCAAATTTTGGGATCGGCGCCTTGTCTCCCCGTCGTTCAGAATGACGCTCTCGCCGAAGCGCGGGCAACTCTTCTGAATCCGAATCCTTCTTAATCATGGTCTCCCCGCTCCTTTCGCCTCCTCTGCCTTCCCTTGGTCCTCCTGCTCATCCCACTCCTCCCCCTCCTGCTCATGCTGCTGTTCCTCATCGTCCTCCTTCCTCGTCCTCCGTTTCTTCCTGCCTTCTTCTCATCCGCCATCTTCTGCTTAAATGTACACAGCTCCTCATTTTCTGATTGCGCAGAGCGCGATGGTGTCCTGTTGGAGGTTCCAGGTCAACATTCACACCCGTTGGCGGATAGATTCACACTCAGCGCAGTGGGAAGGGACGGGTGAAGGGGTGGGATGCCAGACATGGCTTGAGCGTGCCTAGTTTGCCGTCATCCCCGTTTCCTCCCTCCCCTTCGCTTCCTCCAATCTCCCTCATCCCCTGAGTCTGTGCGCGAATTGTCTCGCTCTCCGCGCGTAGTGGTTTTTACACACGAATGCAAACATATGTCTTTGATTTCTTGCAATCCAATGGTCTTCGGTCCTTCAAAATGGTGCTGCCGCTTAACGTGGGCATCCCTATAAGATGGGTACTTTGTTCCCGTCGTTCAAAATCGCATTTTCGCCACAACGGAGGAACATGTTCTGGATCCGTGTCATTCCTCATCGTTGACGCCCCCTTATTTTTCCGCCTCCGCCTTCCCCTGGTCCTCCTGTTCCTCCTGCTCCTTCCGCTCCAACGCCTGCTGCTACTGCTCCTCTTCCTCGTCCTACCCCGTCCTCATCCGAACCTTATGTTCCTCCTGCTCGTCCTCTGGCTCATCCGCCAATTCCCGCTCCCATGGTGCAACTTCTTTTTCCGATTGCTCATAAAACATAACACGACAGGGTCTTTTGTGGAACTCCAGGTCCTCTACGGCACGAATCGGCGGATGGAGAAAACATCACCGCAAAGCGAATGGATGGGTGGGAAGGGAACAACGGCAAATATAGCGTGCGCGCACCTAGCTTGTCCCCCCCCTTGCCCTCCCCCCCCCTTTCCCCCTCCTGCCCCGACCAGTACTCTCGCCCTCCCTGTCGCCGCCGTCGCCGTCGAGGGCGTCGCCGTCGCCTCCACCGCCCTCGCCGCCAGAGCCCGACGCCGTCGCCCGTGGCACGTGGCCAGCCCCCCAGCCACCCGCCTCGCTGCTGCTCGCGTCCGCGGCGGCCTCGAGGGGTATGCCGAGGGGGGTTGGGGGGCATCACGGCACCCCGCAGGCCTGCGTATGAAACACGGCACGGAGACGACGAATATTCCCCAATCAGTGCTCGCACTGAAGGGGTCCTAGCGGAAATTGAAAACTTTGGCGAAAATGTCCCGCCGATTTTGGTGGCCGGCTGGGTTCCCAGGTTCCCGGTTCCGGATTCCTGGGTTCCTGCTGATTGGTTCCGGGCCGATTTCGGTGGGTTCCAGGTCCCTGGGTTCCCGGTCGATCTCCTTATCGATCAAACCATCCACTGATTGGAGGTTTTCTCTGGTGTAGTGATGCATGGTATGGTGATGGCATCCATCGGTGATGCTCGGTTCCTCTAGTCAGGCTTGCGTACAACGAACACCTTGAGTACTGAACTTCTGGTCAGGGTTCCCTTGTTCAGGGGTCCTTAGCCAAGATCTCATCGGTAAGGGATCTGTGGTCAGGGTGCCTGTTCTAGGGAGCCCCTCAATGCGGCTCCGTGCAATACATAATCCTCCGTACGGGCCCCTGCAATACAGCGTCCGTTGTAAGTGCGCCTGAAATATTGATTCCTGGTCCTTGGTACCTTTAACTCTGATTCCGTTGTCCAGATGCCTTCGGCAAAAAGGTTCTGCGTAAGGAGCCTGTTGTAGATATAATGCGATCCTTATGGTTCTGCAT